TTTTGTCTCGTGGGAGCATCGTTTTGGAGCAAATGCTGGCTGGACAGTCAAGTGGTGGAGCGGTGTCCCATCTAACACATCGATGACAACGGGTCTCGGAGGCGTGGCACAATTGGGTCTCGATGATGGGTGCATGCAGATGAACGTGCGCAGGATGGTGCCGCTGCCTGACGTCGTTGTGCCATCGACAACAGAAAGGCCTCACAAGGTAAATGCGCTGATCCATCGTAAAGGTGGGACGACGAAAGATGGCAGCAGCTGCGGATTTTATAGCGTGCACATGTGACACACGCTGAGGGTCTGCTAGACCTTGTTGCTCTCGACTCTCCATTCGACGGCTTGTTGAGGCCACCAAATTAGATGTCTGTGTTGGTGTAATTAAGGTCAGGGCACATTATCAAGCTTGTAGGTGTAGCGACACGGTCACCGAGAAGGTGGCGTTGGGTTGATCCATGTATTTGTTTATGAACTTCGTTGAATAATATAATAAAGATGATTGTGTGCATCATTTTTTCGGGAAAAAAATCAATTTTATTATAAAAATTCACTGAAAGTACAAAGTATCTCAAACATAATAAAAATTACATCAAAATTCGAGGACATTGAATGGCCACTACTGCCACCAGAACGATACGCCGACGCAATGTGTGACCGGCTTATGACTCTACTACTGTAACATGAAGGAAACAACACAGTACGTAAGTAAAAACAAGGGAGTATAAATAAGGATTGCCAAGGAGTTCCCGTCTGAAGCTCATCTCTATTTTGGGGCGATGCGCTCAGCTCTTAAGCATCTCTATCACATCCCAGAATTTTCAATTCTTGGAATGTGAAATATTAAATTAGGATTAATTCATTTTTTTTTGCATATCTTCTATATCTAAAAAGGGCACCCCACTAGCTTATTTTCCTGCCTCCATGTGAGGCCACGTCATCCGAATTGTTATAACCGTTGATCCAATATAGCTCTGTGGCCTACAACCGTCTGATCAAAAGTGGACGAAATTCCTTTCACGCCGTCCCGCTCGCTGCCTATGTTCACGGTCAAATGCTGTCAGATCTCACGGTGATCATCGTGGATCTTCTTTTCTCAAGGGGTGATCTTCGAGGATCTCAACTAGCTAGAGCTAAAGAATAAAACTGCTAGCAGCCATCTAATCTCAATCACAATGTATGTTAGCCGCCGCCTGAATTTAAATTCTTGTGCCATGTGAAGAAACGTACAACGTACACTAATACCTGACTGATTGCCAGCTGATAGAACTATTACATTTTGTTGGTGGGTAAAATTTAACTCTTCTACATATAACGTACACTAATACCTGACTGATTTATCTTATATGTGTATCATTCTGTTCCTAAATATTTATCTTTTTAGAGATTTCAAATGGACTACCACATACAGATGTATATAGATATATTGTAGATTCACTCATTTTGCTCCGTATGTAGTCACTTGTTGAAAATCTCTAGAAAGACAAATGTTTAGGAACGAAGGGAGTAGCAGTCATACTCGATTTGTTCGTCGGGCAAGATAACATGCAGACCATTTGCTTTTTCGAAAAGGGACGCTTTATTACTTAGAAGGATACAAACCATGTGCTATCATCGTACAACTACAGCAAGTCTTACTCCTACTACTACATCCGTCCTGGTTTATTTGTTTCCTTTATAATTTGTGCTAAATTTTGGCCAAAGATTTAACTAACAAAATGTAGTGCACGTCAACAAAAAATGTATTACTGGATTCGTATTTGAACACAGTTTTCGATGATATAGATTTTGGTGACATGCATTAATATTTTGTTAATTAAATTTATGATCAAAGTTTGGCACAAGTTACAATGGAGACCAATAAGCCAGGACAAAGGTAGTACAAATTAAACAAAGTCAAATCATCGTGCCGCCAATCAAAATCAGGCGGACCACCTTCCCAAGTCAACGATAATCAAGTGGCTGCGCGAAAAACCAATCAAGTGAGTCATAGAGCATTAAACTATGATAAACCCAACCTCATCGTACTACTATCTCCAAGCATTCGTTGTGTCTGAATACTTCCCCAATGTCGTTGGACATCTAAAGATAATTCAATGCTTCTGGCTAGCTTGGCCATACCTGTCTCAGACCCCCTAAATAACTGTTTTTAGGTCTTTGATTTAACTAGTAATAAAAAATGTACAATGTGTCACAAAAATTTATATGGTTAGAAACTATATTTGACAACGAATCTAAAAATATTTTTTTATGTAATATAATAAATGTTACCCTAGTTAAATTAAAGACCTAAAATTTTGTGCCTGACTAATATACCCATCTGGAAGGAGTAATATTTGACTATTAGAACATATGGATTTTGACCCAGCAGGATATATTGGTCCCAAGTAATATACACCAGCAAGAGCTTGATTGAGCCGCACAAGATTCTTCCACACAACTGCAACTGCACTTTGAGTCATGTTATATTGTAATTGTCGGTTAAAACTGCTCATGTTAGTCCTTGGTGGTTTTATCATACAGTTTTGCTAGAACTCATCTAGATGAGATATAATTTGGTCTCATTCACCTTTTATAGCCGTTGGATGTGATGCTATAAGATGCGTGTGTGCTGACGTGGGTTGTATCTGTTCTTGTTTTCAAAGTGAATGAGACCAAATTATGTCTCATCTAGATGAGTTCTAGGTACTACCTTTATCATATCAGATTTTTTACGATCACATGCCAAGGAGGGAAGTTGTTTCTTAAACAATAAATGAGCTGCAGTTGGAGTCCGTTCCTCCGGTGGGGTGGTGGGGCTCCGGCTAGACCTGGCCAGGGCACGGTGGCGCTGGTGTTGTTGTGGTGGTGGTGCGTGTCCGCCTTGCCGACGTTTGATGGGCGGGCGGCGCCGGTTGGGGCATCGGCCCGGCATGGCTGTTGCTCCGGCTATGGGCGGCGGCGGCAGGGTGGCTCGGCTCTCTCGGTGTGGAGGCTTCCATTCGCCGCGCCAGCAACTCGGCAGCTCGGCGGGCTGGCTGGGACAGCGGATGGTTTTCTGGCGTCGGCTCATCTCTAGGCGGCCCGTTTCGATCTTCGGTCCTCTCCTTGTCATCTGGTTGCTCCCTTAGTCGGAGGTTGGGCCCTGCCCCAACAATGGTCCATCGCTCGTCTCGCGCCCGACAGTAGGACTGACCTCGTCTCGCGCCCGGCAGCAGGACCGATCTCGTCTCGCGCCCGACAGCAGGATCGTGCGCGTCTCGCGCTTGGCAGCAGGACCGGCTTCGTCTCGCGCCCGGCAGCAGGACTGTGCTCGTCTCGCGCCCGGCAGCAGGACTGACCTCGTCTCGCGCCCGGTGCCCCGGATGGGTCGTTGGAGGCCAGCTTTGGCCGATCTATTCGGTTTCAGAGTTGGGGGCTGCCCAGGGGTGCGAAAGGCGGGCCCTTTCCGCCCGTATCTCTGGTTGGGGTTGCGGTGGGTCTCGAGCGAGTTGATCTCAAGGTCTGGGATGCCGGGGCGGCGGACCTGGTGGTGGTTCCGCTGTGCTCATGGGCGGAGCCCGTGGTTAGGTGCTACCCGTTGGCCATGGTAGTGTGGATGGCGTGGTCGCTGGGGCGTGGCGTCCGGTGGTGGTGAGTGTCGGCCGAGGTGAAAACCTGACCTATCTTCGGATGGACCGGCGGTGGCGAAGCTCGTTCCCTTCTTGAAGGCGTCGTCGCGGCTCTCATTGCTCGTCGTGTTGCTCTAGGGGGAACTCTGATCCTCGGGTCGGGCGGTGGATGCACTCTGGTGTCGTAACCTTCCTGAAGGCACCACTGGAGCACATGGTTCGTCATATGCGGCTTCATCTCTTTGCGGTGGCATGCTCACGGTTGAGGACTCCGGTTGCTCTTGTACTACTATGGGTAGTGTTGCCGCGCTCAGTGCCTTCGTATCCTTCCTTGGGTGTGTGCGTATGTTGTGCTGGAGTGCGTTTGTATCTGAGTTGTGATTGGTCGGTGCTTTATATATAAAGTGGGACGAAAGCCTTTTTCGGTAACAAGAAATGAGCATCAGCGACAAACGGTGTTGTGATTTGTAGCTTGTTGTAGATACTTGTTCAATGAGTCCACTCCTTAGATCCAACTGGTGATGATGATATGCCTGCTCTGCGATAATCTTTATTATTAGATCTGCATCTAATGAAGGCAAAATATGTTGTGGTATTTTGGCAGGGGGGAAACCACTCCGGTCAACTTTTGCAGTACATTCTCCTCATGCAAATAAAATAAGAGAAATATATGCTGGGTGAAATGTAATACACTTCTTGTGATCAAGTTTGTGAACATACATATGTACCAAAAATCATGGCAATTTTTTTCTTCAAGTTTGTGAACATGTAGTGTTAGTCTATTTTAGATTTGTTGCAATGGTGCCGCCACTTTGCTAGTTAGTGTCAAAATTCAACCATAACTAAAGCAGTATTAATTTTATGTTGGCCACCTTGAATTTTTCTTATGCAGGCTCTTTAGATTCATATATGGTTAGTTCCAAACACCCAGGGATGAGAGAGAAAACTGGCCAGCTGAAACCAACAGAGAGTGTAAACCGCAAAGAGTATTTGGTCAACTAATAAATGTGCTGGCAGTGCGGGATTTATTACACATCCACAAACCTTAGCCGCCACTAATCACATGGACGTGGTAAAATACCCTCTCTTGAGCTAGCCACTGAGTACGGGCCAGATGCAGTAGCATCCATGAAATCTCATCAATCTGACAAAAAGTCCACTATACCAGCTACACCTTGTGTGTACTTTTCATTTCTGCAAATATTTTATGTCATAGCCGTCTCACTCAGTCCCTGGACTGCTTGGAATGGCAAGAAAACTACGTAGTCCAATTCTTTTATGTCATAGCCGTCTCACTCAGTCGTCACGTCGATCGCTATAAGTAGCAGAGCTTACACTTGGTGTTGTATCTATCAGATCATTCTAGCTATCCCCATTGCTTCGATTCCAAAGAGAAGAGGAAGCGAGGAAGGAGAAATGGGCGGCGGCGAGGGGGCCACGGCGGTGATGTGCACGCCGGCGTTTTTGGAGCGGGTGCTGCGCAGCCGGTGGTACGTGGTGTTCGCGTCCATGGTGGTGATGGCGGCGTCGGGGTCCACCTACATCTTCGCGCTCTACTCCAAGGAGCTGCGGTCCGTGCTGGGGTACAACCAGCAGACGCTCAACACGCTGGGCTTCTTCAAGGACCTGGGCACCAACGTCGGCGTCGTCTCCGGCCTGGTGCAGCAGGTTGCGCCAACGTGGGCCGTGCTCCTCATCGGCGCCGGCATGAACCTGGCGGGCTACCTAATGGTGTATCTGGCGCTAACGGAGCGCACGGCGGCGCCGCCCGTCTGGCTCATGTGCATCTACATGTGCGTCGGCGCCAACGCGCTCACCTTCTCCAACACCGGCGCGCTCGTCGCCTGCGTCAAGAACTTCCCGGAGAGCCGTGGCATCGTCATCGGCCTGCTCAAGGGCTTCGTCGGCCTCAGCGGCGCCATCTACACGCAGCTCTACCTCGCCATCTACGGCGACGACGCCAAGTCCCTCGTCCTCCTCATCGCCTGGCTCCCCGCCGCTGTGTACATCTTCTTCGTGCACACCATCCGCGTCCTCCCGTACCGGCGCCGCGCGGAGGGCGACGAGCCCAACAGCAAGCCCTTCTTCTGCTTCCTCTACATCTCCATTGCGCTCGCCACCTACCTCCTCGTCATGATCGTCGTGCAAAAGCAGGTGCGTAGCTTCTCCCACGCCGCGTACGCCGTCGGCGCCACCGTGCTCCTCATCATCCTCTTCATCCCCCTCGGCGTCGTCATCAAGGAGGAGTACACCGCCGTGTCCCAGCTCGAGGAATCTCTCCAGCCCCCGCCGGCCATCGCCGTCGATGAACCAGCAAGCAGCGCGAAAGACCAAGAACAGCCAAAGTGCAGCATGACGGGCTGCCTCGCCAACATGTTCAAGCCGCCGGCGCTGGGGGAGGACTACTCCATCATGCAGGCGCTGGTGAGCGTCGAGATGCTGGTGCTGTTCGTGGTGTCGGTGTTCGGCATCGGCGGCACGCTGACGGCCATCGACAACATGGCGCAGATCGGCCAGTCGCTGGGGTACCCCGCAAAGAGCATCAACACCTTCGTCTCCCTCATCAGCATCTGGAACTACGCCGGCCGTGTCGGCGCCGGCTACATGTCCGAGTTCTTCGTCGCCCGCTACAGGTTCCCACGCCCGCTAGCCCTCACGGCCGTGCTCCTCTTCTCCTGCGTCGGCCACCTCCTCATCGCCTTCGGCGTGCCGCAGTCCCTATACGCCGCCTCGGTGATCCTCGGTTTCTGCTTCGGCGCGCAGTGGCCACTGCTCTTCTCCATCATCTCCGAGGTGTTTGGCCTCAAGTACTACTCCACACTCTTCAACTTTGGCTCCGCGGCCAGCCCCATCGGCGCCTACGTACTCAACGTGCTCATCGCCGGGCGCATGTACGACGCCGAGGCGGCCAGGCAGCATGGGGGCCACGCCGCCGCCGTCGGGGACAAGATCTGCAAGGGGGTACGGTGCTTCAAGCACGCGTTTCTCATAATCACGGGGGTCACGCTTGCCGGTGCGCTCGTGTCATTGGTGCTGGTATGGAGGACCAGAAGCTTCTACAAGGGGGACATCTACGCCAAGTTCAAGGTGGTGCCTGCTGCCGACGCCGACGGGAGCAACCATGCCGGGGAAATGGTGGAGGGTACAGTTACACAGGGGGAGCCCAAGAATGGAAAGAACAAGAAGCAGGAGGAGGTCAACGATGATGAGGAGTTTAAGTGAGAAGGCTAACTCAGACTGTGGTAACTTCATTTGATTCAAGCAATTCTTAGAGAATACGGATGTGGATGAACATGTACTGTTTTTTGTTTTGTTTTGAGATTAATGTGGTATGTTCATTTGTTTATTTTCATCGATGTGGATGAACATGTACTTGTTACTTTCATGGCTAACTCACACTACTTTCTGTTTTATTTTGAGGTTAAAGCAATTCTTAGAGAACATGCATGTGGATGCAATTCTTAGATTAATGTGGAAGCAATTTCATTTGTTTTGTTCCGATGTTACTGATTGTGGACTTGATGTGGTATGTAGTATATGGTTTCCAACTTTCGACGGTAAAGACTCTTAGCCAGCAGGTACGACCAGCCATACATGTGACCGCAAATTGTAGCAAAGATCGTGACTAACGACTTTCGTTAGTCACGTGCCCGTTCTTACAGGATGGTGTTTACCTACCGCGCCGCCATATCTCTAATCCTAAAGGAAGAGTTTGTAGGCTGTTTTCATTCGAGCCCCAATCGATCGATGGAAGCCTGTTCCCACCGATCTCTACTATTTAAAAAGAACATAAGGTTTCTATTTCACTTTTTTTCCACCCCCTTCGTCCAACCTTCCATGTATATGATAATCAATCACCTTAATATACTTACCTTCTGAATCAATTCTACTTTAGTTTACTTAACAAATTTCTAATCAAAATATAAGGTAACTCATAATTAAAATTTGATGAACATTTATTTACACAGTCGCATTATAATCTCTACTACTTAGAAAGAACATAAGGTTCCCATTTCACTTTTTTTTCCACCTCCCCTTCGTCTAACCTTCCATGTATATGATAATCAATCACCTTAATATACTTACCTTCCGAATCAATTCTATTTTAGTTTACTTACCAAATTTCTAATCACAGTTAGAATTTGATGAACATTTGTTTACACAGTCGCATTATAATTGACAGGTAAATCACGAACAGGCATTATTCTAGTTTTTATAGAACAAAGGAAGTCGTCTGCCCCGTCGATTTTCTACAATGAAATCCCACTTCCGATTTTTCTGCCATAACGGGCGCACAAAAGTCCCGGAAACTAGCCCACCCGCCTGTTCTTCCTTCCTTATGCACACGCCTCAAGCATGTAGTTTTGACGGAACTCACCCAGCTCCTTTGGCGTGCTCTTCTGCATCCTCTATGGCGTACGTTGGAGATATGATGGAGAGCCTTACCATTGCTAAACAACTTCTTGGTCCCCTTGAAGAACCTCTTTACTCTGTTACTCAAGTTGTTGGGGTCGACGTCACCATCGCTGCCGTCGTACATGTGGACCAAGTAGGCGTCCACAACGTCCTCCATGTTGTAGGACGACGTACGTCATCTCCGGCTCCGTGACTAGGGACTTGACGCCCTTCTTCATGCAGCTTCTAAGGGTGAACTCGGCGAGTGTAGAAAAGGAGGCTGAAGCATATGCAATTAAGCTGGGACACATGCGTGTTATATAAGGGTAAAGATTACAGAGAGGTTAGGGGGTTAGGGCTGTGGATTGTTTTCCAAGGAAACTAGCTACAATCGGATCAGATCACAATAGCCCTGACCTATCCTAACACTGTTACAACAAACACACGCACGCAATCTAACTAACTACATATGGTTTATAGGCATACCGTATTATAGAATGCTTAACACTACCCCTTAATCACAACTTATTTAGGTTGAGATTGTGTCGAAAAGCTTCTAGCTGCCTTAAAGAAAGGGGTTTAGTAAACCCATCTACAAACTGATCACCTATAGGGACAAACCGAACATTCAGCAGTTTATTGGCCACCCGTTCTCGAACAAAGTGATAGTCTATCTCTATATGCTTCGTTCGAGCATGAAAAACAGGATTAGCAGTCAAATATGTAGCACCAAGATTATCACACCAAAGTGATGCAGCTCAAGGATGATGAAGTCCCAATTTTGTTAACATATTCTGCACCCAAATAATCTCAGCAGTTGCGCTTTATACTCAACTTCTGTGCTTGACATGGACACAATAGCTTGCTTATGGGCACTCCAGGGAACTAGATTACTTCCAAGGAACACTACAAAACCTTCTTGTAACATCCCAAATTTTCAATTTGGAATGTTATACATTAGATCATCTTTGCATATCATATTTTATTGCTTTTGACCTGATCCTAGAAATTCTACGCAACTCAAGGACCCTCGGAGAGAGTTGGGGATTTCATTATTTTCATATTTGAGTTTGCTCGAATTTTGAAAAATAGGATCATTTGATTTTATTTATTGTATATTCAGTTATTTCAATTATAAAAATATGAGAGAGGGAATAAAATGACTTTCCCAAAATAAAGAAATATTGAGGATTTAATAAAAAAATCAAAGAAGATTTATTTTGGAGTTTTTATATTTTTATTTGAATTTAGGAAAATTGCATGTTTTTCAAAACTGCATTTTAGGGCCAAGAAAATGTTCATCCTGTTCTAAATATTTTATTTAAACGGCGAAAATTGATTTTGGAATTTTTAGATTTTTATTTATTTTTCTAGGATTTTTCTTAGTTTCGGTGGAATTGTTTAAAAAAAAAGTCTCGCGCGCGCCCGACTGGGCCGAAGCACAGCCGAGCCAGGCCGGCCCGTCTTCCCTGCCGCCGTCTCCCGCACGGAACCGCGCCGCCGCCGCTGCCGACCCGGACAAGGAGACCGAGCCGGACTCCTCCTCTGCCCTTGCCCCTCCCCCAAGCCAGCCACCCCCTCTTTATATACCGACGCCGCCGCCCAACACCGCCACACCGACCCGCCCCGCCGCCGCCACCCCCACCCCCCCCGCCGCCGGAGCCCTGCCGCCCCACGCCGCCTCCCCTCGCCCCGCCGGAGCACCTCGTTTTCTTTTTTTAGAATAGATCGTTTTTTCCGGTTTATTTATTTAGCGAGCGTTCGCTCGTTCGTTTTAACGGACGAGTTCACCGTTTAGTTTAAGTTAACGAACATCCGTTCGTTAAACTGTTTGTCAGTTATTTCATTTTCTCGGATTTTCCGCGATTATTCCAGATCGTGATTTCTGATCCGATTTTCGTTCTAGTATAACTTTCCGCTTGTTTATCGGAATCAGGCGATTCAAGCGCCTAGAGATTCGTCGCGAAACCCTCTTTCTGTTTAACCTACTCAAACAAGTTTTTGCTACTGTAAAATTTGAGTTAGGTCCAGATTAGTAAACGAAGCTCGTTTCTTTCGCCGTTTGAGTTTTGTTGCCTCGTTTGATTTGATTATTTTTGCAAACCAGAGTTCTTAAATTGAACTTTCTGGTTAGTTGTCTTATTTGAGTTTCACCTGTCCATTAGATGAGTATTTATTGTATGTTTGTTTGCTTGTTTGTTTGCGATAGAGTATCCGGAGTGCGCCGCTTGCTACTTCGAATCTCTAAGTTTCACGGATCATCAGCAAGGCAAGTAACACTTTGATCATACCTCTTTACTACCCACTTTTATTGCATTAGATCAATCCTCAAACAATTGCATGGTTAGGATCTGATTAATATGTGGGTTTTGGGAAGTAGATGAGGTAGTACCTATTACCTGTTTTATTATCAACCCTTGGGAGTTACTTCTATCTTTGCTTATATTGCCATGCTATGCTAGTAGACGTGGATTGGGTGCGTGTATCCATCACAGATGTGAGATTGTTATTTAATGGATTATTTAAGGTGGCAACTTTAATACACATCTAGGTGGTGTCGACGCTAGAACGCGTCACACGTACACGTTGATGTGTACCCGCAGCGCCGAGGGAGATGCTCCGCAACTCACACCGCGGGAGGCCGACTTCCAGCGTGATACGCAAGACAGCAAGCCGGCGCTTTTGGGACCAGACGCCCAGCTCGCCCGGGAGGGACCCCGTCAGGGCTCGAGGCGATGATTGGATGCTCGAGGTCGGCCTTACCGCCCCTAGAGCCTCGTGGATCCGCAGCCTCCAATCTTGAAGAACGACGAAGAACGAGAAGAAAGATACAAGGGGAGAGATAAAAGTAGATGAACACGAAAAAGTATTAGATGTGTTTGTTCGATTGGTGTTGTTCAATCGGCCGTCACCCCTTAGGTATATAAGAGGCGGCTGGACTTCCCGTGCAAGGAAAAAGCTTGGATTCACGTCCAAAACCCTAGTCAAATTCGGATTGGTTTTGTCCGAACTTTCCAAAACTGTTCGGTTTAAACTGGCTGCACCTTGCGGGTCTATTTTGTGGTGGTAAACGATCTCGTATAGAAACGAGCCCAAAAGCAATCTTGACCATTTTGACGAGAAGAACAACTTTTATGTTGAACATTTTTTGATCAGAGGTCATCTTGAGGGTCAAATCGGTCGCACGAAACAGGCTATCCCTCGCGCTACCCATCAGACAGGGTGTCTAGTGGGGCGCGCCAGTTTTTGCCTCCTGACAGGGCTGTATTCCGATGGCTCTAACTTTTGCATACGAACTCGGATTGGAACGGTTTTATATCAAAATCGATCGTTTCGACGAGACGAAGACAATCCATGTAGATAATTTTTCCATTTGAGGTTGTCTTGGGGGCCTAATCAGCTAAACTGTACTCTGAATATAAGATCTTAGTACTTTGAGCATAGTTTCGGTCTTCGAGATGAAATCGGACTGCGATGACCCAAACTTCAAAGATGTTCATATCGACAATACGGAACTCTTTCATGAAGATCACTTTTTTATTTGAGGCCATCTTAAATAAGTTATTGACCGTGCCAAAATCTGGTGTCAACACATGCCCCCTTGTTTTTTGGCAAAGTTTGTGTGCCGAAAAATAACTTCTGCATAGCTTGTTCTAAGGACGATGTCAACACTCCATCGGCCATTTTGCATGTTCTTAGAACGACAAGTATACATCGTCCATTGCTTGTTTGAACCTCTTGATGCAAACTTGGGTGAAAACTTCTCAGCTTCTAAAACAATCCGGTGATAAGGTTCCATAGATCAAAACCATCCTCCTAACCATATT